CCCACTGGCTACTGATGTCCACCCACTGGTGACTAATGACCACCTACTGGTGACTAATGTCCTCCCACTGGTTACTGATGTCCACCCACTGGCTACTGATGTCCACCCACTGGTTACTAATGACCACCTACTGATAACTAATGTCCTCCCACTGGTAACTAATGTCCTCCCACTGGCTACTGATGTCCACCCACTGGTGACTAATGACCACCTACTGGTGACTAATGTCCTCCCACTGGTTACTGATGTCCACCCACTGGCTACTGATGTCCACCCACTGGTGACTAATGACCACCTACTGGTGACTAATGTCCTCCCACTGGTTACTAATGTCCACCCACTGGTTACTGATGTCCTCCCACTGGTTACTGATGTCCACCCACTGGTTACTGATATCCACCCACTGGTAACCGATATCCACCCACTGGCTACTGATGTCCACCCACTGGTTACTAATGACCACCTACTGGTGACTAATGACCTCCCACTGGTTACTAATGTCTACCCACTGGTTACCAATGTCCACCCACTGGTTAGTGATGTCCACCCACTGGGACCACTTCAACCAGCAGTGGCTTTTGTTACTTTATCTAAATGATGACGTCACATCCTGCTGCTCTCAGGGATTGGAGGCTAACCTGGACTGAACGAGGTTAAGACACGCCGAGCAGAGATAATGTGGTCACAGTGGAAAAACTGTGCCTACAAGACTTGCTCAGTGGCAACAACACCAACAACACTGTGTTCATGTGTATCAACACAAACAGGTCAAACGTCAGCGTCACCATGAGTCGGCAGGGCTCAGGTGTATCAATATGTCCATGTTAACGACATCACCTCGTGTTTATAATCAGAGCTCCACAGACCTGCAGCCTCAGTCAGAGACAACAGGAACCATGACGGTGGTTTTCTCTGATCACTTTCTGCTTCAGGCTCTGTGCGCTCATATCAAATCAGTCATACGACATGTTCAGCTCATTATTTGATGCTTAAAATTGATTGATCTGTGCCGCCTACTCTTGTCTGAAGAATATTTATAGGTATCACAGTAAAACACAACACTGTTGTATCAGTTGAGGCGACAGAGGAGCGGCGACAGTAAATAAGCTACTAACTGTGTGAACTCACAGCTGAATATATTTATTTTATTTCTCTGATTATGTCTTATGTGGCGGCTGCTCACTGTACAGCTCTTACACTTTAAACTGGATGAGTCAGATTCAAACTCCAGAACTGTATTTACTGTCCCATAATGAAGGAGACATGGAAATCACTTCGGTTTTTGTGCAAATCAAAGTGAATTAATTTTACTGATTGAATATTACCTGTGATAAATACCAACAGACTAATCAATCAGCTGTAACGTACCAGCAGTGTAAAACTGACTTCAGTAACAAAGTCTGATGTTATAGTGGTTTGAAGGAAATAAAACAAATCACATGAACATAAACGTCGTCCTGATTGGTAACAGTGACCTGTTTGTTAGCTGTGATTTAAGAGAACCTTCTTTGAGAGTCAGTGTGGACAGACGGAGCAGAGAACAAAGACATGTTCAGTAATTCAGTCAGAGCAACAACAACCTGACAAATAAAACAATAATCATACTCAGATTTTCTTCACCACTGATCACTGAAGGATCCTGTGTTAAAAAACCACCTGATGCACAGTCAGCGCTCCGGACGCTGCACGGCTTCATCAGTCGCTTTGTAGACGATTTCAAGCCGAAACTCATAACATTAACTGGTGAATTGTTAAGCTCCGTTTCCACCTAACACTTTGAGTTTGGAACCAGCAGTAAGCCTTCAGACATGGTACCTAGACCCTCGGTCTGTTCAGACAGTCCTCTTAAATGTGGGCGGGGTTGTTGTCACTCACTGCTCCGTCCAGCACTCGCTGTATTTCCTCATCAGCAGTGACACAGATGGAAGTCTGCACCTGGTTTATCGTCCACAGAACGAGGCTGCACGCCCACATTTTCACAACAAAATAGAACAGGCTGCAGTGAGAGTCTCTCTCCATGGGATATTTAAAAATAGCAGCTTTGTGCATTTAGTCCTTCTCAGGCAAGCTCAGGGGTTTAGTGTTGCTGTAGCCCACAGGAAGTGAGGATTAGAATATATGACCTTCACATAATCCGCTCCAAATTAATCTATATTTTTAAAGTCATTACTAAAAGTGTGTGTCATTCAAGAGAGACAATAAAAATTAATGGAACGCTCCAAGTTGGGATACTGAAATGTGTCCAATAAAATTTAATGAAATGTCATAAATATAAATAAAATGTTGGAAAACATGACAGTAAACGTTCCACCTTAAAGTGAATGAAGTCATTTTATAGTTGTAGTTTACTGATGTATGAACAGAGGTTACATAAAACCAGAGTGACCGTCCTCTACTGACCAATCAGACTGCAGGGTTTCTAGCTCCACCTTTTAGTACCAGATCTGTGTGCTAGGTACCCCAACAGAGGGGGGACCAAACATGGGGACGCTAAGGAACGCTTCTGTTGGGACCATCCACAACTTTTACTGTGGGAACAGACACAATGAGACTGAACCGGACTGCTCAGTGGAGGCGGGGCTTTTATGACCTGTTAACAGGTGTCAGGCTGCAAAATTCAACCCAAACTGACTTCATGAATCTCAACACTGATTTTGTTTCTTGACACAGTCACAGGATTTAAAAAACTCAACTCACAGAAAAAGAGTGAATTTGGTGTGTTCACATAATTCAGCATGAATTCCTGTTTTTGTGACTGTACGAGACGCTCGCTGTGCATCAGGTGTGTTGATCAGGTGTGTTGATCAGGTATGTTACCTTGGCGAACTGGACAGCAAAGATCTTCTTGTATTTGAGGTCCATGAGGAGGCTGTTCATCAGCAGCTGGTGGTAGATGTTCCTTGCTCCTACAGACAGACAGACAGACAGACGTAGTGTTGATCAGGACAACATGTGATATGTGAAACCGTTGTTGAACACTTTGATGAGGTCATGTGACTCAGGATAAATGAACACATAATGAAGTATAAGGTTTAATGTCTCTCTGCTGACACAGACTGACCACTGAATAAAGAAATGAAATGTAAGAAATCTCGGAGTAATATTTGATCAAGATTTGTCTTTTAATTCTCATTTAAAACAAACCTCACAGACTGCATTTTTTCATCAGCGTAATATTGTGAAAATTAGGCCTATCCTGACCCGAAAAGATGCAGAAAAATTGGTCCACGCTTTTGTTACCTCTAGGCTGGATTACTGTAACTCTCTATTATCAGGTAGCTCTAGTAAGTCCTTAAAAACTCTCCAGCTAATTCAGAATGCAGCAGCACGTGTACTAACAGGAACTAAGAAACGAGATCATATTTCTCCTGTTTTAGCTTCTCTGCACTGGCTCCCTGTAAAATCCAGAATTGAATTTAAAATCCTACTGTTAACTTATAAA